GAGATATTTTCCCGCTGTAAAAAGTATCCTATATGTTCACCCGAATAACCAGCTATCACTATACCAAATTCTATCAAAATTCCTCCAGTGGTTTTTCAGTGATGCGGTAACAGACAGACAGACAGACAGACAGACAAAAATTCTAAAAAAACACAGTATTTAAACAACACAATGGTAACAAATACACACAGCCCTAACTCCTGAACTAGAAAACTGTGTTTCCGGAGCTAAAATCTATAGATTCTAAATACTATAGATTCGGCCTCAGTATCGATAATAATGTATATTTTAATAATTTTATTATATGTATAGATTTAAAGCCAAATATATTGCAATTTTCGTATTAATCTGAATTTCATAATATAATACGGGTATATTCGTGTGTACAGCAGTGAAATGATATCGAAATACTCACATGACTTTCTTCTTCAAATATTATTTTTATCTATTTGTTCGGTAAACCTTTCTTTTGTACTTTTTGTAACATTCGCTTTACTATCATTCTGTTTATACGTACATATACGAGTATTATATAATAGGCGGTGTAAGCAATATTCCTTATTCCCCTTGAATATGGAAAAATAAATCTTACAAATGAAAACCGCGCTCCGCCAAACTATCTAGCCTTAATTCGAAAAAATTCAAATTTATATTATAACTCTATTTTCTGACTTTAACACAACGTAATATGTGCTCAACTGCCATTTGAAGTCATTAAGAAGAGAATTGAATTGACATTATTAAAAAAAATGTATTAGGTATTATGCAAACTATTATAAAGATAATTTACCCTGAAACAAATTTGATATATACGATAAAATGAATGACATGCTTAATCCATTCAATCAATTTAATTTTATATAGTAATTTCTGAGTAAATCTGAGGCTTATTCAAGAAAAAAATCTAACCGATACACACGGCTCACTCTTTTCCAACATCGACGGCATTTATAATATTATCTTTTTTTTTATCCTTTGTTTTTAATAACTACACTTATAATATCTATCTTTATCTTTGCTAAAAGGTTCAATTCGTCTGTTAATCCGGGATGAATTCCTATGTAAAAGACGTTATCACAGAAGCTGTGGTTTTATTTTAAGCTGTTGCGCTATTAAACACTATACTGCTAATACAGCTTTGTTTATTTGTTGATAATTGTTGTATTTCAGGTCAGATGTATTTGGCAGAGATTCGAATGTTGAGATGGATGTGCGAAATAACTGAGAGGCATAAGTTACGGTATAAGTACGTAGGTAATTATATTGGAGGAACTTGTAAAGTAGCACCTGTGATAGAGACGTTAAAAATATTCATTTTCTGAAATAGATAACTAATAAAATGAAATCCAAAAGAAGTATTTAATTTAGGAATTTTGACCAATTTTATCTGTATGGTATAAATTCTTACATTTCATTGAGAAAATCATAAAATCCTGTGTACATATGTCGATTTTACTTACTTCATGTTTACTTTACCTAATTTAGCGCACTATTCTATATTATAAGTAAAATATTTTCTTTTCGATTAATGTAATTTTTATATATATATTTTTTTAATTTTATAAAAAGGGTAAAGGATTTTTTAAGTTCTTAATTTTATATATTAAATCTATATAGATTATAGAATAACACCAGCTTATGTACTAGCGCCTATAATTCTTAATTAATTCATAATATTATAAGCATCTTAGCAAACCTTAATGATATCTATATAACACTTTCTTAATTCATCTCTCACTTACAAATTATTCCACAAGTTACCTGTGAATTACTTAATAGTAAAGGGAGGATCTCCCTTAAGATTCTATTCGTCTTTAAGATTAAACGTCATTTATATAAATTATGCTTATAGAATTTATAGCCAGCTTTACATGGGGTAATTACGCTGATGAAAATTTATTTCATCGTTGGCTTATTGTTAAGGGAATTATCAACACAAAATGAGGTTATACGATTGAGCTTTAGTGTTTGCTTTTAGCTGCTTTGTGGCGTAATCTCTTAATGGGTGTTCCAGACGTCATATTATCATAGTAAGACTTTTATAATGTAACAAATTAGTATTTTTAACGTCTCTAAGTTTGGCATCGCTATTTTAATGGCAGACAAATGCGTTTTTGTCTTTCGAAAAATAGTGAGATTTTCTTAGATATGTAAATATGCAGAAAAAGTGGTTCTCACTTAAACACCTCGAAAGTGCGAGACTCGAGGTTTTTACCCACTATCTTTTCTTTAAAGCGCGCTTGCTATCAACTGGATATAGCAGTCAAAACATTATAAAATTCAAGTAGGCTTTCTTTCTGCCTAAGACTAATCGCTAATCTAGTGATTTGCTTAATTATGTTCTAAACCAATTAAATGTAAAAGCTTTTAAATATATTAAATAATAATTAATTAATGATTAAAAGTCAAAGGTTATTTCCAATACTGCACTTTATCTTACAGTAACTCGTACAAACATTCGTATATGTGTTCAATATTCTTTAGATCAAATCACTTTATTTAAATAAAGTCATCACTGTCTTTAAGACTTCTGCTTTAACATAGTTTAAAATAAATTCTAAATACTTCAACTGAAATCTACTTTTGCCAATTTTATCACTGATATGCTCTCCTTTCATTCAGTTAGGATTTATTTGGATCAAAGGATTTTCAGTTCACAAATTAATGACCACCTGGAACCGTGACAAACCGGACATAACTTATAATAATATATTATAAATAAAGTTGTGAGTATATAAGTACGTCTATACGTATAATAAAATTGTAACTAAGTCGAATCTGTACATAAAATATTTTTTGGAAAATCTAATTGAAATAAACATTATTATCGATACAGAGTCCGAATCTATAGTTTGTAGATTTTTTGTCTGTCTCTCTGTCTGTCTGTCTGTCTGTCTGTTAACGCATCACAAGAAAACCACTGCACAGATTTTGATGAAATTTGGTATGATGATAGCTGGTTATCCGGATCAACATCTAGGATACTTTTTACCACGGGAAAATATCTCATTTCTGAGAAAAAATACAAAACTGCAGTGTAGAGTATACTAATATGTAAAACCTAAGAATTTGGTTTTTGGTAATATAAACGTGGGTGGAGCCGCGGGCAATGCTAGTTATAATATATAATGTACTATTATTCTAGTATTTTAAACAATGAAAATGTTAAAATCGATGCCTTTGTAAAATCAAATATTTTTCTTTTTTTAATATCAATTGATGTCTATCGACACATCTAAAAATTTATAATTTAATGCATGAATACAAAAAAATATATGATGTATTTGTTTTTTTAATTTGATAATTTTCGAAGTATTTATTAAAAAAAATATCTCTTATTTATTTTATTACATGACATATTTTTAAGGTACAAACTAAAACTTTTATTTCGGATGGTTTTAAATATTTTTTTTTTCATTGCTTTATGTAATCACTTGAAAGAACATTTGAACATACTCGTAGCAACGATTTGGTCGATGAACAGAAAACTCAGATGGGCTATAAGTGTGTAATATATTTATTTATTTATTTATTTATTGAATTACCAACAAAAGTTATAATTGTTAACACACACACACACACACACACACACACACACACACACACACACACACACACACACACAACACAATTGTTTAGTTATAGGTAAATACAGCATGGTAATTATTATTAATTAAGGTTTTTAAGTAATCATGTGGATTAAACTATAAACTTAAATTATTAAAAAGAAACAAAATAATATTATAAATTTCTAAATAAAATGTCACATACAATATAAATAAAGATATTTTAAACAATTAATATATTATATATGTAATATATAATGTTAATTATTTAATCCAACTATGAAGAAATTATTACCCAATTCGTTATTAAGACTGAAGTCTCTTTCAACGTCCTCTGTTGCCTATTAATCTTGATCCTGCTCTTGCGCCCACTCTCTTGCGCCCACCTGCGGACGCTTCTATCATTACTTGTAACACGATGGTCATTGATAGGCTTCCGATATCAGCTGTTGTCGGTTACATAGTGCACTGTGACATATTGACGACACGTTTAGCTCAGTTTGTAGTGACTCTACTTACTGTGTCAGCGGTCCCGTGTTCGAGTCCCGCTCCCCAGCGGGACTCGCATTCATTTGTGTGATGAGCACAAATGTACTGTATTCAATACAACATAATGTAAACTGTATGGTACTTTGTAATATAAATTCAAAATCGTATATATATAAATTATTTAAAAGTTATAGGTAAACTTTAAAATATGAAGTCAAAAAAAATATTATTTCATTATCGTAGGTATAATTTATAGGATCACGTTGAATATTTATAATATTGCGGTTCGAGTTCTTAGGACGGCCATTAATACGTCCTTGTCTAATGGACTGTGACATTTCTCCGTTTATGTGTAAGGGTTCTTTCGACCTCAATGAATTACAGACGACCACAGTATTCATATACATTCTTGACAAGGAGCAGTTATATGTAATAAAAATAGAGTATTTTTTGAATTTACGTATATAGCTACATATATAATTTATTATTTATTAGATGTATAATTGTAAAAAAAATATATTACAGAATCTATTTGTGACTTTGGACTGTTAATTTTTTAATTATTTAATTGATACATAACAGAAATGATTAAAATGTATATATTATGTAATATACTAAATTTAATTTATTTCACTAGTATTTCATATATACGATTAAATTAATTATCATTGACAATTTTGATTTTATAACATTTCCATTTTTGTCATTTCAATACAATTTATTAAACTAATTTTCAACCCTTGTAGAATGACATCTTGCGTAAAATCCCAGGAAAGTGTCTCACGTCCACGCCTAGTATTTTATTACAACAAAAACAATTCTTCAATAAAAACTCTTTATTAAAAATATAATAGTATTTATTAGTTCGAATGTCTACAAACCTTACTTAACTTAAGGACAAAAATTAAGAAAAGTAAAAGTATCTAAAGTTTATACAAACGAATAATGTACCTTGATATAGTGAATTTGCATAGGAAACTTGGTGCTACTGATATTGCAATAATTTCTAGCATAGTGAGTTATCATACTATGAAACAAAGCACGACCGCCTTTGTTCTATAAACACTACAGAAAAGAGACATCGCAATACAAAAGTTTCACAATATCCACTACAAAACTTCTGACTGGTCATTAAAAATAATTTCATTTATTTAAAAAATATCTCATTATGGAATAAGCTTTTTAATAATTTAAAATATGTTTTTATAGCTTTGTGTATCATATTGATTGCTTTCATACGTTGTCTAAATAAGACAATGTTTAAAAATGGATGAATACAACCGAGAATTGTTAATATTTAAAATATATTTTTTCTCATGATATTTTTACTTTTCGTTTCGCTCGCGCTAAAACTACAAAAAAAAACTCGTAAAGGTAACAATCATCCCCTATTTTACCCTCTTAAAGGTTGAATTTTGGAAAATGCTGAAATACGTAACTCATTATTTTTTCCGTACTCAATTCATGCGAAATTTCATGCAAATACGTCTAAGCAATAAAAAGTTTCATACAAACTTTAATCCCCAATTTCACGCCCTTGGGGGTTGAATTTTGAAAAATTCTTCTTCAGTAGATTTCGTCATATGAGGAATACATGTGCGAAACTTCGGTTTTCTAACCTTAAGGGTTTTGCCTGTGCGTTGATACATCAGTCAATCACTTTTGCCTTTATAGAGTACATATAAAGATAAGGGAGCTTAGAACTATATAGCAAGTTTTATTTTAATAGCAATAAGTAACAGCCTTACTTAGTTGGTAAAACGAACGGAATGAATGAATAAAAGGGTTGATGATTAATATTACGCAATTTTCGTTACTCATATGTTTGTTTACCTTTAAATAAAATAATTCAAAAAATTATATAAGACTAAATACACTAAAAATCTACGGGAAAATGTTTTATTTAACATATTTTATTCATGTAGTCTAAAACATGTCATAAATGCAGGTATATCTTACATGGATATCACTACCACTATGGTTTAGTGGATTGCATGATCGAGGTCCTGGGTTCAAGTCCCAGATCGGGTCAAGTTCAGTTGTCGAGTATTTCTGTCAAGAAATTCTCACTAACAACTCGGAGTTGGGAGCACGAAGAGCATGTAAAGCCGTGTATCCTGTGTCTTAACTCTCACCGGTCGTGTCGAAGTTTCGTCTCATAGGACTTTGAGAATGACAGGAATAAAGAGGCACTTGTGTCTACGCATACACTAGTGCACTACAATATCTTCTACGCATCTGACTAGTCTCAGAGAGATTGGCCATCGTGGCTGAAATCCATCAGGAGGACATTATTATTATTATTATATTATTATTTGTATCTCATTGAAATTCAAGGGCTCAAAGGAGCTCGGTCCTTTAGAAGGCTTGCGTGGGGATAGGTCCAACATTTAGAGGCCCCTTGAGAGATTCGAGTTTGTTTAATGTGACGCATCAGCCGGGATCCATATCCAGTAATCTATAGGAGTAATCCATAGGGAATTACCCAAAGATGACCTCCGGATAATTCGTGGGGACTATGGAAAATATGGAAAACTAAATACGATTATGGAATGGAGTTTGGATAGACTAAAACTGACTCCCGGACGTCCGCCTGCTCAACAGTCTCAGATTGAATATATGGCTACACTACTACACTAGATGGGCCCCCACAAAGCGGCATAGTGCCTCGGGCGAAACATCAGGTGTCTGAGGTCAACGAAGGCTGTCGAGAGTTTCACTATCGTGAGTTGTGCAGATTGAGCACTTTCAGCTTTTCAAGCACTTGGCTCTTGCGCGCCTCTCTGAACGGCCAATGAAGGCAAGATTGAGACGTGGGACAGATATTGTTTCCTTCTAGATGTCTCAGGTGTGTGGTGAATTAATTATTATTATTATTTTACCTACATCTTTGTTTGAAAACGGTTTTATAAGTATATTTTATAATATTATAAGTAAGGGAAGTTCTTATTGTATATCTTTGTCTTAATGTTCTTTCAGTCTTAGCTGTGGGGAGAAAACAACAACAATTGTATCTTTATGAAGTAATGAGCTTTGTAGTTAAGCTGCCTTTTATGCGACTTAAATTAACTTCTTTGGTCATATTAGTTTATGTTTATTGTTTTAGTGACATTTACTAACAAATTATCAGATATTGAAGCAAAATTTCGTTGCAATTTATATGTTAATTAAATATCTAAAATTAATAATATATCTCTAAATATTACTACTGAGTAACTAATATTAACATAAAAAGAGTAAGGCGAGCTTCTGTTTCACAAATTGTATATGCATATGTGTCTACATACGGTTTACTTGTAGACTAGATTTAGATGTGGCTTTAATCGCATAAATATTATGCCTATTTATTTTACACCTACGGACTATGATTCTCACTTTTTTAAGCTTAATCTTATAATGGAAACTTCCCTATATTTATTTGAACTGTAAAAAGTAACAAATCAATTTTAATTCCATCAGCTTAATACCTTTTCAGAAGAATTTTTTACAAACAATATTAAATGCTAAATGCCGGCTCTTTTTATCCAGTTTCAAAAACGAAGTAGCTTACTGCTTTTTGAAATTATAATTCGAGTGTGTGCTTGCATCTTATATATCTACGCCAGCTGAGAATGGATTTTGAATGTGAATACGTTATACTTTAAGGGTGGAAAAATTGTTTTTAATTTTAGTGAATCTAAATCCCGTATACCATTTTAGTTATAAAGTAATATGTTTACTTCTTTATTACTAAGTTATTCGTAGGTATTCCAATATCAGGTTTATAATAATTGACTTATATTATTTGACTTTTTTTAACATTATTTAAATCTATACATATAATAAAATTGTAACTAAGCCGAAACCTTATTGAAATAAACATTATTATCGATACAAAGGCCAAATCTATAGTTTTTAGAATTTTTGTCTGTCTGTTACCGCATCACAGAAAAACCACTGTAAGGATTTTGATATTTGGTATGGTGATAGCTAGCTATCCGGGTCAACATATAGGATACTTTTTACCGCGGGAAAATATCTCATTTTTTAGAAAAAATACTAGAACTGCAATGTAAAAAAGTATAGTAATATGTAAAACCTAAGAATTAGGTGTTTGATCATCTGAACGCGGGCAGAGCCGCGGGCAATGCTAGTTAATTATATATACTTTTGATTATGTAATTACAGCGAATGTTACACACTGTACACTTGAAAAGTCATACATATCTGATTAATTAATTTATTGTCTTCTAAATGTATATAAATGTTAATATGTATGTTGTTAGTGTGCTTTTCTAAATAAATAAATAATACAAAAGTAAGCCATGGCAATATATTCGACATTTGCAAAAACCAATTAGAATCGGTTGACTCTGTATAGTACACTCGTACAGTTTCACCTTTTATCGAGTAGGCAGTTTTTTCTCTAATCCGCTCGCTTTGTTAGCATCCTAATCCTGTACAGAGAAATGGATAGGTATATATTTTAAAAATCATTTTTAGTATCTAATTTTTAGCAGTTAGTATTATAAACTATTAATTAATAAATATGTTATTATTATTTGATAATGTATATATTATTAACCTAAGACACTTATACAATTATTTAAAAAAATAATTTAGCTCCCTCACTCATACATATACCTATTTATCTTTTGACTAATATACGAGTATACCTTACACAGATATCTTTATGCAGATCTTCGTTGACTAATTTATCTTACAAATGTAGGATTGGGTCATAGTATTAAAATGTATATCGTTGCTGAGTTTCTGTTTAGCCAGTTCTTTTCAGGACTAAAGCTTTTCCTTACCGAACTGTTGGTAGACTCATGACGTTCAATAAATAATAATAGTATTTATTTAATGCTGATTATAATATTGTATTTTGAATACTGCATAATAAGATCAATAATAAAATAATACCGATATTTTACTTTAAAAAGTTAGTTTTAATAAAATATAAGTAACAGTAAGAGAAGTAGCTCAAAATATTTCATAACTATGAACTTGTATATATCCAAAGATGTCAACTTAAGAGAAGTAGCTCAAAATATTTCATAACTATGAACTTGTATATATCCAAAGATGTCAACTCAACTAAGTGATTAATGATGAAACGCTACGCCGTTAACGCCAAAACAATGGCTCTCAATTTTCTTTCAAAATAGCCCAATTTTAAGGACAAAGTTAGAGACGATTGAAACAAGATCGCTGATTAATCAGTGACTACTCCTTTAAAGATAAATTAATTTTTCACCATCAACTAAAGTTCTAATGAACGTAGGTTGAAATATTGTCGCTTAATTTAAACTGTAAATATTTAAGAAAATATAAAGCTGAAAACTATAAAGTATTTCTTAAAAATATTATAAACATAAACTTATAACCAATGTAATTATGTTAAACAATATATTGTATTATGGGGCTATGTACCTAATGCCCATATACTTTATATAAGGGACGTTGAAAGTAACCTTTGCACCTTCTTCAGCGGTTAGAATCCATTTGGCTAGGTAAAGGGTTCGCAAAATTTGATTTCACACATATCTTTAGAACCTTTCAGTGAATACATATATTCCGAGAACCCGACTAATGTACATTGTGAATATTATCAATTTCTTAAATAAAATCTCATTATGTCGGAGCGAATAGCTGTACCAGAGATCGCAGCATCAAATTCACCACAAGATAAGTAAATATTTTTGCATTGATAATAATATACCTTTGTAATTTTAGGTTTTATAACAAAAAAACGGTGCTGGGTACCGTTATCAGCGTGTAGCTCATATTGTAGTTTATCTAAAAGCAAAAATAGTAACTGAGAAATTACTTTCATTGTCAATCATTATACTGGGTTCATTGTTCCTGCTCTGATAGGAAAAATAAAATTATTACGAAAACCTTTTTTAATTTGACATACTCTAATATAATCCATGTCACTTGTGGAATTTTGGTAAATACCGAAATATGTGTTTCATAATTAAAGCCATTAATTATGCCTGAGAGCATAAATATCGACTTTTAAGTAAAAGCTAGGAGTATATTATTGTCATTACAAACTTAGCCACCCCTTTTCACCGCTTTTAGGATTGAATTTCAGTAAATCCTTTCTTAGCGGTTACCTGTACCATTATAGGCATGAGCTGTTTTAATTTACTTAAAACCCAGATGATTGTTAACGAATTAGCTAGTACAAATAAATTGTAGATTGTGAACTATATAAACATAAGTGAAAATGTATCTTTATCCAAATTTCCGAAAATTCTAAGCCGTTTGCTTTGAAACTTTGATACACTGAAATGATATCACGTAGAGAAACTTTTTTATTTTATCCATTTTTTGAAACTCACTACTCAATGACGCAGCAAGCATCGTATCAACTTCTACACCATCAACCAATCGCCATGAAATTGGTACAAATGAGTCTGCAGGGAGAGGATACATATAAAAATATTAATTTAATTATAATACGTTTTATTACTATTTTTATAGTGATTCCTTAAAAACTATAAGTTTATTAAGAGTAAAGACAATATAATATAATCATTAAATAAATTCTGAATCATCATATATCTAAGTTTCACCTACGTGCAAAAAAGTTACACATTATGTATGTCAACTATTTTTTCATCTGTATATACATACACGTATGATATATTTTTTTATTATTAGTATCATAGTAAAAATTATATTTCATTTATATCAAGATATTAATTTCAATATTAGAGAATCAAAATGAATGAAAAAGCCCTTCTTTAACGTCCTATTGCTGGACATGGGCCTCCCTTCAGTACGAGAGCAATCAGGCCATAGTCCACCACGCTGGCCAAGTGCGGGTTGGCGGACTTCACATGTCTTTTGAAAACTTGTTAGGTTCTCTCAGACATGCAGGTTTCCTCAAGATGTTTTCCTTCACCGTTAAGACACTTCTCTTAGCGGTGAAGGAAAACATCGTGTTTTGGTAATCATGTTGGAAATGATTCGCACATGAAAATATCAGAGGTGCGAGACACCTCACTCGGTTTCCCAAGCGAGCGCGTTACCGCTGGGCTACCACTGCCTACAATGTGAATTATTATATTATATTAGCAAGTAGTCTAATCACTCGTCATTGTCACTTATAAAATATCATATTAACATAAT